GGATTTGTTACAGGAATGGGTATAAGAGTGAAAAATTGTAAATAACCTGTCCATTAATGGTAGAATATATAAAAATATTAAAACACACTTACTCTATGGAATACGATGTGATTGTTTAAAAGAGTACAATAAAGCCATAAAAAAATGACATGTGCAGATTTCCAAAATATAGTGATAGGTGGAAACAGCAAGTCACAGCAAAACTGTCCTAAATCTCTGATAAGGAGTATTTCTTCCTATATAAACAGGGAGATCTGCCTAGTGGACACCATTAAAAGTCATTTTTAAAAAATCTTTACTGAAAAAAAAAATCTTTACTATTATATGTTTTTCCTCTCTCACTCACTTTTAATCAAATTATCAGGCAGGATGTGAACAGAAAGAAAACAGTCAGGTTTTATTGACTTCCTTATCTCACACTTGGGTTCTAGTGTTTGACTCTTTATGATTTCCTTCCTGTGCTCTGACAGAGTCACTAATTTTAGGTGTACCTTTCTGGTTAGAAACAGCATTTTGTATTGCTTGATTTTTTGAACCAATGATCTCAGGAAAAACTGTTTCTACAACACTTTCTTAGTACAGTATTTTCTTTCTTTTCATAAAGCTAGGTTAAATTGTCTTGCTACCCCAAATAAAGATGGACCATTTAAAAATAAGTTCTTAATTTGTAGCTAGATGCTAATTATAAGAATTAGATAATGAGCTGCTTTCCTGAACATAAACATAAAGGAAATACATCTTCAGAAAATTGATGGAAATTTGGGATATAAACAATGTAGAGTATTTATCCTAAATTAAGTTGAAAAGTGAAATCTGCAAAATGGCTAAGAGACTCCTAACATGAAACCATTAACTGGGATTTAATGGTGTAATCCTAGCAGTAGGAAAGAGACCTAATAACATTCTATCATACCTTCGTTAAGAGTTCTTTGTAATATTGCCTTAACTGTAGCATCAATGGAAGTTGAACACAATCTACTCCATGAATCAGAATCCAATTATTTTATAATAGCTTCATGCTTTTACCCAAGAGAGATCCATAAATTGTTTTTAATCACTTCTTTTATTTTAAATCAATAGTGTCTGCCAAGTGGGTAACATTTCCTATTAAAACATTACCTCGTATAATTGGTATAATTACTTTATAAGGAGATAAACTTCAGCACAATTGGACAATCTTTGGGTTTATAAATCTAATTATGTTCACAACACAATATTTTATTCTTAGTGATTGCAAGAACATAAACTTGGAGAAAACCCAGACATTTATAATGAAGTAACTGGGAAAAAAACCAAGTTAATTATTATGTATAGTACTGCCTCTATTAAATCTCTGAGAGAAAAATCCTTTTTATAAAGTCATTCAGAGTGTAGGGAGTTTTTTGGGGAGTTCTGGTCCCCTTCACTTGGGCTGGCAGCCTTGTGGCTGAGATGGAGTTGAGGTATAGGTTTCTCAAGCTGGGCCAGGACATAGCTCACCCAGATGTGGAAGACAGAACCCCCCACCCCCAGCCTTTGATTTTCATATTGCACGTCTAGGCTGCTTCAGTGACAGCTGCACAGGATGGTGGTAGATGGACAGGCATGCCCTTCAACCTTTGTTTCAAAAGGAGATTTGCTTTCACCTCATGCATTTTGGGCATCTGCAACAGATTTCATTTGGAGAAAGGGGATCCATTGCTAAAATTTATTTTCAAAAACCTCTTCCCTATTCCATAGCTCTGTGTCACCTTTACATGCTGAAACTCATAAGCCTTATATTTACATGATCAGTACTTTCCAACTCTGGTAAAAACAAATTCCCAATTTAAAAAGGGATAGCACACACACACACACACACACACACACACACACACACACACACACACACATGTAAATCAAGAAAACACTCCCAAACTGTACTTCAGTTGTGTCTCCCCCTATTGCTTCTATGTAAGAAGAGGGAAGTAGGGAACGAAGAAGATACCGGCTTAGGTATTGTCCATTGTCCAGAACTGCTGCGTTCCAGTTTGCTTCAGCATTACTATTAATCTGCTGTTCTTTGTATTTCTCACCTCTTCTGCCCTCTCAGGGGTATCTTAAGGGCTTTTCCTCCCTCCCTTTCCTTTATGCATATCCACTTAGGAAGCAACAACTCACAAAGATTTTGAGACTCAGAGAAAAAAAGTTAATTCTAAGCCCAAGGGCAGGATGAAAAGATGAAAAGATTTGCCCTTGTCCCCCAAATCTACAGAAGATTCTGGCTGAGGAAGGGAGAAATGGTAAGGGAGTAGTGTTAGGGACAACTTGTATAGGAGGGTAAGAAGCAGAAACATTAGGAACCAGAGTTTCTCTCTAGAAGGGACTGATCAGTGGCAAACTGATTCTTACATGCTGTTTCCTATCTGTGATTCTGACCACATCCATGTCCCCTCCTGGAAGAGGTCTTCCCTGTCCACCTAGTGTAAAGTGGCCACCTAGTCACTTTCCACCACATTATCCCATTTTACCTCTCTCCATAGCACTTACTATTATCTGGCACTTTTTCTCTTTCCATTCCCTATCCTTACCCTCTTCTCCATTAAAATGTAAGTTCCATGGAGAGCAATAGTATTGTCTTGGCCCCATGAATTGTCTGTTTCTTGTCACTAGAATATAAGCCCCAGTGCTGCAGGAACTTGCCTGGTTTTGTTAACATCTGTATCACTCAAAGAGCCACTTCCATGAGTACTTACTGAATAAAAGAATTAAAGAAAGAAAACCCTTGCCTGTTTGCCAAGGTTGCATTACGATGAAGCAATCAAAATTTTCCCTGAGTTGGGGCAATGGTAGGCACATTGCCTCCATATTACATAGCCTCAATTTTTAGTCTATTGAGACCAAAAAAGGCTGACAGCAAAGATGGAACTAGAAGTGTCTCTTCTGTGCTGAAGAGTGATGTGTGTGTCTAGAAGACGCCATAAGAAAAGAAAGCAGCCTCCTGCCCACTCCAGGGGTCAAGAAAGAGAAGTCCTAAAGGAAGTGCTCACTGCAGTGGAAGTGTATATAGAGGATCAAATAATGCTGCAATCCTTTTAGCTTGACAAAAGGTTTGGTAGATGTGCAGCAGATAACAATTATACTGAAATACACTATGAAAACATTTTTCACATGTTAACAGATGTCTTCATCAGGGTGGTAAACATCAAAGATTTATCTCAGTCTTCTGTTATTTCTATCTCAAATACCACATGCCTCTTTGCTTTATTGTATTCTCCCTCTGGAGAAAAATAAAGCAAAGGTGTACAATCACTTACAAGTCAAGACATTTAATATTAGCATTTCATTAGTGATTTAAATATACTCCTTTCAGAATATGTACAGTATAGCAAATATATACATATTTTAGGATAAAGAGAATAGAATTTCACTGGACACAATATTTCTTTTTTACACTGTGAATAGTAATATTCCATTTCGGAGCAAAATGGCTTTAGTAAATATAAAATAAAGTGAAAAGGATTGCCAATGCAAAAAATAGAGATGAATTGTGATAAATTACTTACATGCTAGATACAAAACGCTTCATAAAGAGAGTGACCATAAGATTTGCCATCCAGTGGGAGTTTCTGAGAGTGAAAGGACAGACTGGTCATAATTATCACTGGGGCAACAAACAAACAAACAAAAAATAGGATAAACTAGGATGTATGGTCATCCTCTTCATGGGGACACCTAATGACAATAAATCTGCTTTTAACTTGTTTTTTTCTAATTTTAGAAAAAAGCCAAAACAAACAATAGCTTGCTCATGTACTAAACACATGGTAGACAACTGGTCCTTTTTGATTAAGAAGTATAGTAAAATTAAACTTCTTAATTTGAACATAGATTATTATTGTTGACAAGTGTTAGGAGAGAAAGGGAAACTTAGGCAACCTACTCTATTTTCAGAATGTTCTGATTATCAAAAAATGTTTCCCCTTGATAATATAAGTTAATCAGAATATAGAGGTCTGATGAGTATCGTTTCTCAGCCTAAAATATGTGTTTCATATTTTTAAGATCACCCACCTTTCAATGCAGACCTGATTGACAGATAGAGTTCATCTCTGGTCCCAGCCTACATTCGCTGTGGCCATGAGGAGCACTATGCTGGGAGAACTCTGAGGCTACCTTACAGCTCAGCAGAAAGGCAGGTGGTGAATCAGTTACTGCGGGACATGGGACATGGGGCAATGGCAGGTGTGGCCAGTATTGCCAATATGGCTTTGGACAAATATCTGTTGTAATAATATTTTTCTGACATATATATAATACATAGTTGATTACAAAAGAAATAATTTTATACCTTGCTGACCCTGCACCCATTACCTCATTAATTCTACTATAGTGTAACTAATACATGAACTACACTACTGGAGAATAATGCCATCAGTCTTAACTTGAATGAAGACAGCAATCTCATGATTTCCACACATCACTGTTTTATAACTTAGTCCAAAATTGAAATAAGGAAAGATCGAATTCTTAAGACTTGAATAGAAAATAATAGGAAAAAAAATACAACAAACATACTAATTAATTGCTCCTCTGTTTCTATCCTGTACTTATTTGTGATTGGGGCCTGTATTTTTATATATTCAAGAGAATTTTAAGTAACAAAATGAAAATTAAACTTGCTGTGGGGAAAATGGAAGTTCCTTTGGCCAGGAGCCTCACCTGACCCTAAACTACTTGATGACATAATTATCCTACTGCTAGGCTACTGCTTCCACACCTGTAGGCAATAAGCTATTATTGACTGAGTCACTATATAAAGAGCCCTGCCCAGTGCTCTGGATGGAGGCAGAGATGGAGGAGGATTGTGGATCTGCTGAATGCAAACATGATTCCAGTGCTTGACCTACTGCTGGGAGAATAAAGCCAGGTTTAAACCCTTTTACCCCAAGAACATTCCATTGTCATTTTTGGTCTCACTGAATCCACAGTGAACTTGCCTGGTGCTGAAACCCTCAGGTGAGACACTTGCCTTTCCCCTTGCAAGCATATATTGATGTCTTGACTTTAAAGACTACTTTCAGCATTTATTTCACTGCAACATATTTTGCATTATTTATCCTTCATACAACAGAGAGATCTGTTCTGTGCCTGGCAATGAGGAAAAATAAAAAGAATATAGTTGACACTTCTAAAAAATAAAGGTGTCCCTAGTATTGATGCTTCTTTTGTAATGATGAAGTAGGTTCCATCTTTGGATCTTAATTATCTGATTTAAAAAACAGGACAGAATCAAATTTATGTTGAGGGGGAGATCCAACTTGAGCTTTCAAGGCAGATTTCCCATATTAATTTTGACTACACAGCTTTACTTTTCCAAGAGAGAAATTCTACTAAAGTGGCTTTCCAAAATATTTTGTGGAAAATAAGAATTAATAGATGGCAACTCCTCATTAATGATTCCCAAACAGGAGACGAATTCATCAGGTAGCAGGGTCTGTTCTGGCGTAGTTTCTTTGGGTGAAGTATTTTCCAAAGGCATGGTGGTTTCCCTCTCTCTTGAGTTTGGCATGTCTGGGGGACTGCATTCTCCTTGATTTAAAATGTGGCTTAATTCTTCAAGGAATAATGTGTTGCTTAGCGAATTCATACTTGAGACAGAAAAAGCAAAATTAGGATATTTTTTAAACATAGTATTCTTTCCTAGGTCTAAGGAATCAATTGGTGGCTTAAGAGTTAAGGAATCTGTTTCCTCATTACCAAGATGGTTTCCACTAATGAGAAAATTTGAAATCTGTGGTTTATACCCAGTGTTGAGATCAGGAATATACACAACTGTAGTACTGGTGAGTAGTGACTTCTGCAGGCAGTCTCTTGTCTCCAGGGGTCCTGTATTCCTTTCCTTTTTGTAGTCTGTGCACTTGTGTTCTTCTGGGAGAAAGATTTCTACCTCTGTAATCACTGGATCAACATATAGGACCTGTTTGCTGGAATTATTATTCAAAAGTTCACTTTTTTCCTAGGAAGAAAAGACATTGTTTTATTTTACAAAAAAAATTTAAAGACACCAACTGGATAGTTGAATAAGGACTGAAATTTTGCCTTCCTTCCTTTCCTTTCCTCCCTCACTTTTCTCAGATTGTGTCTCTTCCCATACAAGCTCCTCCTTTTGTCTTTTGTTATGCTGCTCAATTCAAGATCTTTATTAGATTCTTCCATGAAGAGATGGAATGAAAAGAATAATGAAAATAATCCATGTTTTGAGCACATGATTTGGTTTAAAAATTCTAAAGAGAAAGAAGCATCTTGCATATTTCAGCATCTTTTAAAATCTGGATTTTAGAATATGTTGGGGGTGTTTCTTAATATTATGGAAACTTACTACAGGAAAATATTTTGTTCTCAACATCATTTATCATCAAGGAAATGCGAAAGAAAACCACAATGAGAGGTCATCTCACACCAGCCAGGTTGGCTAATATCAACAAGACAAGAAGTAATAAGTATTGGTGAAGATGTGGAGAAAGGGGAACCCTTGTATATAGTTGTGGGATTGAAAATTGGTGCAGCCACTATGGAAAACAGTATGGAGGTTTCTCAAAAAACTAAAAATAGAAATGCCACATTACCCAAAAATTCCACTTCTGGGAATTTAGCAGAAGAAAACAAAATCACTAATCTGAAAAGATTTATGCACCCTTATGTTTATCACAGTATTATTTACAATAACCAAACTATGGGAAAAAACTAAATGTCCATTGATAGATGAATAGGTAAAAAAACAATGGAATATATTCATAAAAAAGAATGAAATTCTGCTGTCTGTGACATGGATGGATGTAGAGGTTATTATACTTAGTGAAACAAGTCAGAGAAAGACAAATACCATATGATTCACATATGTAGAATTTAAAAAACAAAACAAATGAACAAACAAATGAAAGTGAAAAAGACTAGTAAACAGAGAGAACAGACTGGAAGTTGACATAGGGAAGGAGAGTTGGGAATAGGATGGGTGAAAGAAAATTAGAGTATTTGATACCTTAGAAAAGAAAAAAGCATTTTGTTGCTTAAATGAAAGAGAATGTGAGAATCCTATTTTGCCTTCATTTGAGAATAAGATTATAACAAGTGCTTTGTGCTGAAGTTTTTAAGGAGTGCAGCTACTTACAATTCAGATATGTCAGTGATGAGCAGGAAGGTGTGTGAAGAAGATATTTATTTGCATAAAAGCCTGATGACTCTTCTGGGTTAGAAAAGGTCTCAAGGCCTTCCAGCTGATGGCTGGCTTCCCAGAGCAGGTAACTCCCACCCAACCCAGTTATAACATTATAGATCCCTGCTATGGACTGAATGTTTGTGTCCCTCCAAATTCATATGTTGAGGCCCTAATCCCCAGTGTGATGATATTAAGAGGTAGGGACTTCAGGAGTAATTAGGTTATAAGGATAGAGCCCTCATGAATGGGATTAGTGCCCTTAGAAGAGGAGACATAAGAGAGATGATCTTTCCCTTTGCCATGTGAGGATACAGCAAGAGGGAAACTATCTGTTGGAGAGCTTGTCACTAGGAACCAAGTCTGCCAGTGTCTTAATTTTGGACTTCCCAGACTCCAGGACTGTGAGAAATAAATATTTGTTGTTTAAACAACCCAGTCTGTGGTCACACCTTAGTCCTTGAGCAGAAAACAAAACACCATCTGAAGGAAACTCTTAAGGTCCAGGAGCCCAGAATGGGAAGGAAGTTTGGCAAAAAGAAATACCTTGAATAAAACAAGATGAAGTGTCCTTTAAATCTGCTTCAGGCTTAGCCTTCCCAGGAACTTGCCAGATTTGGGCTGGGATGGGCAGACATATAGCCAAAGGTCAGATGAAGTCAGAGGAGCTGGACATGCTCTAGGGAACTAAGAACCCAAGGTAGCTATGGTCTGAGGAAGGAGGCGTTTTCCCCACATCAGGCTGGCAACTGAGTGGAGGAGTAGGTGGGAGTCAAACCACAGTGAAGGACACAGAGGAGAAACAGGGACAATTCCTAAGTGAGGATAATAAAGGAAAAGAGGATCTGATCAAAGAGATATCAAGGACAATTCTCTGAGTCATAGAAAGTCCCTAGTTCCCTTGGGTAATTAGTGGGGAAGCAAGATAGAACTATTAAATAGAAAGAATGTCAAAACTGCAGTATTTTTTATCTGTAGTCTGTGATTATCTGCTTGTCCTTCCATTGTGAACTATGCACTCCCTTACATATATGAGTTCAGTTGTTCTAGATCATCCTTCCACTGTTAGTAGGCAACATTGCCTCCTTTAAAATCAGCCACCTACAAACCCTATCTCTCCTTCAAGCATCCGGAGACAAGGATCCCTCCTTCTCCTCAAGGTGAAGCTTTCTACCTCATCACTTTAGACCATCCCCTCCCCTATTCTTCACAGTCTTGTTCGATCGATTTTCCCTTTCTCTTCGATTTTCCCTTTCTCTGTAATAGTCCTTTGATTTTCCCTTTCTCTGTAATAGTCCTTCTCAAGCCTGCCCAATTAGCATGAACACACTTCTGACCTCATATCCTCTGGAGCTACTATTGTTCATTCACCTCATGAGACTTTGATTGCTGGCCACATGTCAGTATAGACCCTTTATTCACTTCCCTTCTAAACTTCACTCATCAAAAGATGCTTCCACTCAGTCTCTACTTCCTCACTTTCCATTCACTTCCCAACTGAACCTCTGGGCCTGGGTTACCAATGACTTCCCCTTGTCATAGTCCCACAAGCTCACTTCACTCCTTGTGTTATAATTCCTCTGCAAAGTGGTCAGCTCCATGGATCCTTGCTTCTTGATACTTTCCCCACACCTCACCACATTCCCTGACCTTCCTTTTCTTCATCTTTCCTAGAACCATGTCAGTTCCACTGAAAACTGCTCAAAGACTCTTCATTGTCTTTAGTAGTAGTTTTCAACCCATTAACAGAGTCCTCAACCTCAGCTGCACTCTGGAACCACTTGGGAAGCTTTGGACAATACTGATGCCTGGTCTCCCCACGCCCTCCCTCCCCCAGAGATCCTGGGGTGTGGCCTGGGCATTGGGCTTGGCTTATGCAACCAAGGTTGAAAACTGTTGCCTCTGAGTTTGGGAAAGCAGTTGACTAATGGGCTCACTGGAACTCCAAAGAGAGTCACTTTTATTTGTTTTACAAATATTTGTCTTCCTCTCATCAGTTGAATAAAGAGTTTCTAGGCTAAAAAAAACCTTTTTTTCTTTTAAAGGTTAAACACTATTGGTCAACATAACAAAGTCTTGAGTTCCTTGATGCCATGACAACAAGACCTGTAATCTGATCCCACTCGCCATTCCAGCAATATTCCAGCTACTCCTCATGTCAAATTTTTTAGTAAAGCAAAACCCAACACTCTCTTCTCAGCTCTGTGCCTTTGCTCATGTTGTCCTCTCTTTTTTTGAATGTCCTGTGTTTCTCCTGAGCAACTCCTTCTCATCTGTCAGTATGTTTACTCTGTACTCCCATCCTATCTGGTCTCATTTCTGTCTCTGCACTTATATTGCTGCAATGCTTTGATGATATGTCTGTCTCATTGACCGGGTTTTGAGCCCCTTGACATCAGAGCCAGAGTGCCATAAAGTGAGAGAGCACACATAGTAGATTCCTTCTCCTCCATAATCAGTAGCAGTTCCTCCATAACTGGCTTAGTTCCCTATATCCTCAGGGTTTTCCTGGTTAACCCTTCTCTCCTTTGTTGAAATGGAAACCTGGCCCACCCCTGATGACACCATCTTCCACAGTCCTCTCCCATTTATTTTCTCACATCCATTGGGTCTCAGAAGTGAAGTGGTATCCTCCTTGGGCATCACCTGCTTCTTCAATCTCATGTAAGGCAGAAGCTCTTCTCTGTCTTTGAGGCTCATTCTATTGAGGTTTTCTGCTCTCCTCCTTTTGTCCCTGAAGCCACCAACAATTGCTTGGCCACTAGGTAACTCTGGCACAAAGTCCACAATCCTCCACTTCACATTTCTCTTTTGAATAGCATTGTTTCTTCCTTCCTTCTCTTTTTCCTTGCCCTAACTCCGTTCTCTCGTTGCTCCTAAGTATTATTTGAAGTATGTATAATTTTGTTTCTAAATCTGTTTATAAAATTATTCTAATATTACACACATTTATTGAGCAGAAATTCTACCCTAATTATTGAATTGTACTTTTGGTCTCAGCTGCCAATTAGTTTTTATTTGATTGTGTTTGGTTACCTGCAGCATTTTTACAACATTGCTGTTTTCTATATTAGGAATATCTTCATGAAGCCACTTTGGTATTAGCAATAAGATTCTTCTTTTAATTCTAGAAAACAAAAGTGACACATTAGAAGGAGCATTTTACCTTAGGATTAGTGCAGACCATCATACAGGAGATTAGGAAATGAACTAGAATGGATAGAATAATAAAAATCAAACTTCCTGAAGTAGGACCTAAGATTTCTATTTTGTATTTTAAAAAGGTCAGTGGGAAGTTGGTTCAATATCTTTTCAGATTCTCCTATTCTATTGCTCTGCTTCTCTCTAATGAGCAGGAACATTTCAAAACGCACACACTAAATTCAGGATAAGTGGGAGAACCACCCTGGAAGTGAAACTGTCCACATGTTAATTTAAGTACGGCAAACCATTTTAAGCAGATGTCAGTGTGAAAAAATTTGGAACACGTAAGAGAGATTTTGTAGAACTTTCCAAGGTGACCATAGCCACAGAAAAATATTTTAAAAGAGAATGTTAGAAAATAAAAGCATGTAATTTGAGCTCCTTTAATTCTGAATTTGTAATGATTCCAAATAGGATTGAGAAGATAGTGGTGGCGCCAAACTTTGTTTATGTGGATGGAGTGGGAAGCTGAAGTTGTCTTGCAGTTATGGACGCAGTGAGAATAGAGGTTTTTACTTAGACTGTGTGCTTATTAAGGATCACTGCAGTGGGGTGATGGAAAGAAAGGGGAAAGTTGCAAACGCCCACTTCTTTCTCAAGGCTACCCCTTGGCATGGCCACTGTGTCAAAAACACTTCCTGAATTTACAGTACAAATTGATTTGAGCAAAGACTGTTGTACCAGGAATTTAGAAGAGACTAAACTGATCTTTGGCACATTTTTACCTGTAAACAATACATCTGTTAACAACAGATCAAACTGGTTTATCTGTTTAAATAAGTTTTCTAAGGACTTTTATTAAGTAACAAGCAAAATGGCTGAATGAACTTTGCTAGCCAACTTTGACTATGTACTCTTGAGTAAACATAATTTCTTTACACATATGTATACAATGTTTCTTGGTTTCATTTTAAAATGTTTTGCATGGAAAACACCCCCATTTTCCAGTTTTGTTTCTGAAGTAAGGCTTTTATAAATTATGTATAGTTATAACAAAACAATATCTGCTCATAGGTGAAATAGTTATATTGGAATTATCTCATTTCATTCATCTTTTTAAAAAGAATATTTATTTAAATAATTAAATTAGCAAAGAATTCTCCTATTTTCTTATTGGTCTTTACCAAGTGGAAGTTAATTTTGGGGTTATTAACTTTGGGGTTATTCTTATTAACAAACTTAATGTTATTTAAAATTTCAAACTAATTAGGACATCTTTGGACAGTATCATAAATATTAGTATTTTTATGTAGTACAAGTTTGAACATTAAGATATGTCAAGGGGTTTTAAAATAAAGTATATTTGTAAAACAACCTAAAGTAAAATTCCATGTTAGTTCCCCCACCTCACAAGAGTATCAGGGATATGTTTATTAATGTACAATTTAAATTTTGACATTATTTTCTGAGGAAAAAACCTACATAAAAAAAATTACTAATAAACCACATTTAGAATAAATAGTTCATTTTAAATCTTTCTAATGCATTTGGTTATATATTTGCAAAAAAGAAAGATTATCTCACAAAGCAAGTAGTGGCAAGAAAGAGAAACTCTGCCAATATGAGCTAAAATCTGTGAGTCATTAGATATACCGGGAGACCGCCACATCAAACAACTTTAGTCTCTTAACAGATTAGAAATAGCGCAGCTAGCAAAATTTGGGAAATCAAAGACCTTGCTTTCATTAGAGTCTCATTTTTCAACAACCAGGCATAGATCTTTACTAATACCATTCTGGGAAAAAAAAGAAAATGGGCTGAAGGAGGCCAAGGAGAATGGACATTGGGACTTGAAACTAAAACACCAGCACAGTTGGTATCGAAGTGATTAATTCAGATGATGCCACATATCTCTTCACACCATTCCAAGGGATTTGCTTGTATACAATTTGTGGCAGGTTCAGACTTACCCACTCTAAAGAATTCAGGCACTGTAGATAAACTTGAGGGTTGTGAACATGGGCTGCGGTATCAGTTGGGGCTGGACTTCTGACTTAAAGCTTAGTTAAGCTTGGGCTGGTCACTTAACCTCTAAGCCTCAAGTAAGCCATCAGTAAAAGAGGCCTTTGAGCTTTTTCTGGCAGGGTTATTTTGAGGATTAAGTGAATGACATTTATGAAGAGTTTGGTATTTTCTTTCTCTGAGTAAAAATGCTGATAGATTTTTCTAGTAAATAACTTAATTGAATGAGCTTTGATAATATGGTCAAAATCAGAAAACAGGTATTTCACCAAAACCTACCCAGTTCGGAGCGATCTGTTAAATATCCCAATCAAAGAAAGAATTGACAGCGTAACAGCAAAGGAGACCATTCCCAATAAAAGTCCAATGTCTTGTTGGTTGTCTGAAAGGGAAAAAAAATTAGCTAAGCACTAGTGTGCATGGGATGCCAGAATCATTCTCCCTACTCTGCTCAAAGCTAAAGTCATTAATAGTAAAAGAAAAGAGGAAGGGGAGAATAAAATTAATCTTTACTTTGGGTTGTATATAAAGAGACTGCCTTTCAAAACTGTACAGTTATACCTTTTGTTTGAGAAACTTTGGCACATGTATCTGATCTCAGTGGTCTTCTAAAAGTGCATCTCTGGTAAATGTGATCAGCATTTGACATTTTTCTGAGTTTGTGTATGCATATTTTATATAAAAATGTTTATTGATGAACAATATTTGGTTTGTCTGACATAGGTGAGAATTCCCAATGGCCTGTAACACAATTTAAAGTTGGCCATGATAAAAACTGAGGTGTTATTTTAAACCTTTTGTGCAAGACAGAAGTTATATACAGCTTGTCATCATTCTTCAAAATTGATTGTTCATAAATTTTTTCCTGCTTAGAAAGGACATCTACTCTATTAGAACAATATGTTATAAGAAATAAATACAAATTACTATGTCTCTTTCACTCACATTTTACTTTAAAAACAATGCTTTTGTTGAATTTTGAAGTTGAATGAATCACCTGACATCTTTAAATAATTAATATATTCAACATGTAGTACCTACCAGGCTCATCACATTTTCTCCCTAGTACATAAAAAACTCTATTTTCTATTTTCATATATAAACTATAATTGAAACATGACTTATCACACTGCAATTTTTCTGAGCCATGCTGGCTACCCGTGGTCAGTGATGAAATAGTCATGTCTAAAGTTTTTCAATTTGAAATTTCTATTTAGAGTTGTATTTGCCCATTATACCACCTGATCTAATATCTTTTTATGCCTAAGACATTTAAGTATGTTCATCAGTAGAAAACACTGACTCATACTAACACAAATAAAATGGGATCTGGTTTGTCTAAGACAAAGAACACAGACTTCAGAATTTGAAAAATAGGGTTTGAGTTTTAGTCTGAGACTTAGTGTGACCTTGGACAAGTTCATTAGCCTTTCTAAGCTCCAGTTTTCGCCTCTATAAAATAGATACATGATACTTATCTCACTGGATTATTTTGAAGATTGAAAAAGATGATCTTTATAAAGCTCCCAGTACATGGTAGACACTCAAATAATGTTTATTTTAATTTTTTTAGAAAGCAGTAGTTCTGGGGTCTTGAGCCGCAGCATCTATTGAAATGAGAATGTATCTAACCCATAGCAAAATCTGGCAAAGTCCACCTAATCAACTTGTAAATTCAGTTTTAAGCAGACCTTTGTTGATTATTGTTCTATAGAAAACACATGGCATGTTTAATGACCAAGAAATTTATGCCTGACACATTATTTTTCAGTTGGAGGCTTCAAATAGGTTAATAAAGACTTCTCAAAAAAACCCAAGTAGGATTTTCTTACCAGAAATAAGGTGTCCTTTATGGATGGAAGCAATTAGAAGCCCAGAATTCTGAGTATCATGTTGGAATGATTTCAGTCTGACCAGGGGAACTTCAACAAAAAGAAAATAGGGTGAACTTCCTATATTTTGTATGCAAGTTATCCAGTTTCTTACAAGAGTTTCTTCAGTTTTGGGAGATAATTAAAGTAAAGCAGTAGCTTTAAAAGGCTTGAAAGATAGGATAACGGCAAAGGCCTTTGAGTATGTGTGTCTTCTCCTCCTATTTTTTTTTATTTAGCTGGGTAAACTTCAAAGGAAGAAACACTGAAAGGACAATAAAAACTACTTAGCATTTGTAAACCTTGAAGGTGTGTCCACTAATTTCGTGAGGCTTTTAGGTAACAAATACCACGAAGCCTTGTTTCATTCACTGAGCCAGAAAAATGCACCATAATTGGTCTCTATTTGATTCCTTCCAATAGATGATGCAATAGGTTTACATGTCCTTAAAAGCCTCTAAGATGTGTCACTTTTACTTTTCCACACAATCTTTGAGATGCTGTTCATGAACAGCATCTTGGCTCCATATAAGAAGTCCAAATCTGATTAGCAGGCACTTTGAGTTGTAACAGGGGTGGAATGCCATTAATGACTTTCCTCTGTTCCTTTCCCAATGGCAAGAATCCTGGCCAGTGGCCAGCCCTGTCTAGTCATAAAGGCTGTCAGGACACTGCTAATGAAAGCTTCTGACCAGGCTGGGATGAGCAGCCATGGCAGCTAACTCACTTTAAGTCTGAACTCAAAGGTGTCCTGGAACTTCCTTACCCATCTCTTCTCTCCTGATAATTAAAAGCTGCCAGAGGTGATTTCAAGGACATGATTCTTCCAGCTGACAGAAGACATTCTAAGCTCTAGATCACCAAGAGTGCCTCAAGCCCTATTTATTCAGTCATTCTGATTTAAGTGTTCAAATTCTTCTTGTTAAAGAATTACTTTTGGGGCCAGGGAGAAATCAGAACTTGACATGTCCTTAACAGCCACCAAAATATCACAGGATTGTATAACAAGCTGTGTGGCCCAGGCAACTCTCTTTGAGAAAAATATAGAATTTCAATAAAAAGGTTCCTATGGGTCTTTGGAAATTTTTGTAAAAGGCTGATCTTGGTGCAGGCACAAGCTTAACCGAACAGTAGTTTTCTAAGAATAATGGGTAGGGGATTTTAGAAGATGAAAACATCAGAAAAGCCACAAGTTCTGTCCTGTGTTTTTATTCTGTCTTCTCTACAGCAAGAGAAAAATGTTCCACTGTGAATTGTGACAGATCAGAAGTTTTTTTTGGCTTCTCAGTGCTTCACTAAGTCTTCTTTTGTTCCCAAGTATGTGGTTCCACCAAACTTTGAGGGAACAAGGTCATACCCCAGAGGCTGATAGCTGGGTTTATTCATCTAAACTAGTATTTCATAAACTTATGTTCATTCTTAGGGAGCCCCAGCAGAAGTCTCCATCTGCATTATTTTGAAATTTAAAAAATAGAAATAGTACATTAAAATGTAACACAATTTTCAATTTGGCAAAATCAAGGTTTATAGCATATATTTCTGGGTTATTTTTGTTTTCATTTTCATTGTTTTAAAGTTAATGCTTTTATTTATAAGTAATATATGGTGTTGTTGGCCTTTAATACAAGTTAATGTAATTCTATCATATAAATTACAGGTGGTTATTCAGTAGTGAAACTTGTTATTAATTTGCATCATATAAAAATAATTTTCATATCTAATCAGGGCTTTATTAACCCTAATAGAGAATAAACACCATTTACCTTTAGGGTTTTTTGGTATCATAGTTACAAATCAACCAGGTGTATTAATTTTAATTAGATTAAAATTATTTACAAGACATGCTTAATTACCTACCAGAGGGCAATTTCACAAAGAATTGTGTACTTCAAGTAAGATAATTTATAAACAATGTTATGAGAAGAAATCAAGCCAAACCAAATTTTTAAGCATGGGACTGAGATGAAGCCATCTAATTATATTCTTCATGGCATACTGCCACCACGTGGCTAGGTCATTTTTTTAAAATCATACTTAACTTTTTAATTATAAAAGCAGTAATTACAATAAAGAAAGTAATTTTAACAGGAAAAATAAATGAGAAAAAGAATTATCCCTAATCCCATCCTCTTAATCCACTTGCTAATACTATTTTATGGTATTTCCAAGTATTTTAATGCACAAAAGTATTCACAAGCACAGAATGATGGGCAGAACCTTTATATTTGAACAAGATTATTTATATCCACTCTAATCATCAGTGTAGAGCCTAATGTACTAGGAAAATCTCAAAATATTGTCATTATTTGGTATCTTTGGTGTTATTATGTCCATAATGAGGCAATTCTGTCCTTCCAACAGAATATTAAATTATGTTTAATACTCTTACAGCACATACATGAGTATACTCAGAAAACACAAATCATCTCTAATTAGGTAGAATTTTTATATAACTTATACACACTGACAGCGGGCCTTAGACTTAGTTTTATAGAAGATGGTGTGTTAATAGGAAATTTAGAGTAGTTTCAAACAAAAAATAATGTTCTGAAAATCATTTTCCTCAATTATACAACCACTACATGCTAATTGTAGGATGCTTGAAAAGTATAGATGAATATGAAGAAGAAAGTACAATTTTATACCTCTAGTTCACAAACTAGAAGCAATCATTTAAAAATATTTATTAATAGCCTTTTGTGTATGTCTGTACCCTGGTAGAAATCTTGCTCTTCAGTAAGTGTGCTGTGTTTTTTGCTTTCTTTCAGTATTATATCATGAACATTCCATTTTATTAAACATTATTCAAAACCATTATACTACTGGGAATTAAATATTTCATTATACTTGTACTGTATTTATTCAATCATCTCCTTTTAAGAAACTCTATAGCTTGGTGGTTTCAAATCAGCTTTGGACTCAGATAAAACTCAGTTTAAGTCCTGGCTTCACCACTTAACTTCACCATGGAGTTATACAGCTGGGGTAAGTTGCTTAACCTCTTTGTGACTCAGTTTCTTCATTTATAAAATTCAGTAATTACAGCAGTTTACTCCTGAGTTCTAATGGGATAGTTCATAGCAGGTACGTCATACCATGCCATACACAAATTAAAAGCTGAATAAGCATTAGCTCTTGCTATTATTGGACTTTTAGATTGTTTCCAAATTCTTACTGTTATAATTAACTTTTGAATAAATGTCATTATAGATAAAAATCTCCTTTCCATATCTCTGCTTATTTCCTAAGGCTAGATTTCTATAAGTGGAATTATTGGGCCAAAGTGTATAGACAGTTATAAGGCTTCTTTATTTATGTTTTCCTTTGCCTATCTTGGTGTCAAAGCCACACTGACCAAGGTCTGCATCTTAAAGGCTTTGACCAGAGCTGCCACAGGGACCTTTCTAGATCTTTCTCTTAGAGGGTTCTAGATATTCAAGAAGAGTCATATTAAAAGAGACAAAGGGGGTGTTTTTGAAATTAGTGAAGGGTTTTTTCCATCCTATTTTTCTTAAAACATAAACATCTCCCTTTGTCTTCTTTCTAATCTTCTAATAATATCAGCTGCTTCACAGCATTTAAGTGTAGTTTTACTCTATGGTTGGAATTCAATATTATCAGGCTAAGGGTAAAGATTGACATTAGTCCACATCAGCTGGCAAAGCAGAATACAATGCCCAGACCTATCAACTAGGCACCAGACGTCCAGGGCAACGATACCTCAGAACAAACTCATTACCACACCTTGAGAAACAAGTCAAATGATGAATCATTTTATGAGTTATAGTATCATCTTAAGGATAGGAGGATGTGCCTAGACATATCTAAGGGATTATTTTTATGCTTATGCTTCTATGCCCAGGATATAAGTACTTGGTACATATAGGAAGAGGAAGGTAAGAAATATATTTACGGCAACCATTCTGTTAAAGAGAAAGGAGGAGGAAAACGTAAAAAAGCAATTGCCACCCAGGAAATTTTCCTAAGGGCACTGACCACAAAAAATTGTGGGTCTGATGTCAAAGTGTAGCAAAACTCTGTATTTAAGAATAAGTAGTTCCAAGTTTTATCCAGCGGTTGGAGGACGCAACCTCAAAAGGGCATCCTTGCTCTCAAGCATAGCACGTGCCTGTTCCTGAGTCTAGGGGGCATATTTTTCAGTTGCCCAACTCCAGGACACACTTCTCTGTGGACATTCTAAAATAGGTAAGAGGCAGGTAGGACTTGGAACAGAGACTCCGTCCCTGCAGAGCCAGGAAGTAGCTCCAAGCAGACGACCTAAGCCTAGCCAATCAGATGCTCTCCTGCCTGACTCGCACGGGACACACAGCTCTAGGAAATCACCTTCGCAGTAGCTGTGGCCAGGGTATATCCTGCTAAAGCAGCACCAGGGCACAGGACAGGCAGTGGCAGTGACTACAGGGCCAGCAGCAGGCTCCTCACCAATTCTTCCTACGCTATAATTTTGGCTGTGGTTCTGGCTCCTGCTGTATTCTGTCCCTTCTATTCTACTTCTGACCATTTCACCAGCCTTCCTCCTGATTTCCAGGTTCCTTTCCAATAATTCCTTTTCTGTGTACAAGAGCTAGATTTTATTTCTTTTGCTGGCACCTAATCACAATGACTAGTAAAACTGCAATAACAGGTGGTGGATGGATAGGTGGTGAGGAGATGTGGTAAAACAAATAGTGACCCTCCTCCCCCACCATCACCATGAAAGATGTCCATTGCCTAACCCCCAGAACCGTTGAATAAAGGTTACCTTATATGGCAAAATGAATTTCAGATTGGGGAGGTTATCTTAAATTATAGGGGAAGGTCCCAATGAAATCACAAGGGTACTTATAAGAAAAATGCAAGAGGGTCAGAGTCAGAGAAAGAGATTGGTAGATGCCATATTTCAGGCTTTGGAAGATAGAAGACTATGAGCCAAAAAATGAAGGCAGGCAGCCTCTGGAATCTGGAAAAGGCAATAACTGATTCTCTCCTAGAGCCTCCAGAAGGAACATAGCCCTGCTATTTCCTTGGTTTTAGACCAGTGGTACTGATTT